GAATAATACAATCTCAGTGTTAGTATGAAAATTAAGTGATGAACTGTGTTAAAACTCTGACCAGGTTCCTGCCACATAATAGTCAATTAATGTTAATTTTAAAAAATATATTAAATAAATTTAACATACATTAAAAATTGTACATATTTATGTTGTACAATGTGATTTCATTACATGAATAGGTTGCATAGTGTCAATTAAAGGTAAAAATAATTCAAGGTAAAAATAATCATCCTTTCAAGCATTTCACATTTTTAAAAGATTTATTTATTTGAAAGATAGAGTGACAAAGAGAGAGAGAAAGACAGAGAGCGAGAGAGAGATGTCTTCTACTTGTGGTTCATTCCACAAATGGCCACAGCAGCCAGGGCTGAACTAAGTTGAAGGCAGGAACTCCATCCTGGTCTCCCAAATGGGAGGCGGAGACCAAAGTACTTAAGCCGTTATCTCCTGCCATCCCAGGTCCATTAGCAGGGAGTTGGATTTGAAAGACTCAAACCAGTGCTCTGATATGGGATACTGGTATGGCCAGCAATGGCTTAACCTGCTGGGCCACAATGCAAGCCTTTCTTTGTAGTGAAAACCACCAAAAACCTTACATTGTACTTAGTATGCAGAGAAACTCACAGTGAATGAGCATTGTCTGCCTTCAGCCTACTGTGTAGTAGAACCCCAGAACTTCTTACAGTGCCAGATAATTTAACATCTGTCACTCAGTTTTTCCCCACCCCTCACTCCCCAGTTTCTGGTAGCCACTATTATATTTTTGACATCTATGATATTGCATATTTCTTAGACTCCCAGAAGAGTGAGGTCTTGTGAATTTTTTTTCTTTCTGTACTTGGCTTTATGACCATTCCATATGTGTTGTTTCAAATGACAAGATTTTATCATTTTTTATAGCTGAGTAATGTTCTGTTGTGTATATGTACCACATTTTCTTTATCTGTTCCTCAGTTGTTGGATACTCAGGTTGTTTCCACCCCTTGGATATTTTGAACGGTGCTGCAATAAACATGGGAGTGCAGATGTCCCTTGAATGGATGGGTTTCATTTCCCTTGGACATGTACTCAGAAGTGGGATTGCTTGTTCATACAATAGTTATATTCATAGTTGTATTTTAAGGAACCTCCATATATTGTTTTTATTCACAATGTCATGCTAATTTACATTCTCTCCAACAATCTGAAAGGGTTCATTTTCTGACACATTCTCATCAATGTTTGTTACATTTTCTCTTTTTGAAAATAGCTAGTCTTAGTGCAGTGAGGTGCTATCTCATTGTGATTTTGATTTGCTTTTCCCTGCTTAGTGAGCATTCTATCAGGTACCTATTGGCCATTTATATGTCTTCCTTTTGGAAATGGTTGTTTATATCAGTTGTTGATTTTTATTTGGAATATTTGTTTTTCTGCCATTGAGTTTGTTGATCTCTCTATATTCTGTATATTAATCCCAAGTCCAATGTATGGCTTGAAAATATTTTCTGCCATTCTGTAGGTTGCAAAAGCTCTTCAGTTTGATTAAATCCTACTTACCTATTTTTGCTTGTTCTTAATTTGAAATATTGCCCATTCCACTGTCCTGAAGTGTTTTCTGTCCTTGGAATTTTGATGGGGATTACATTAAACCTGTTAATCACTTTCAGTTAATATGCACTTTTAATGACATTAATTATTGTCATTCATGAACAGGAGGTGTCTTTATGTTCTTTGTGTCATCTTCACTTTCTTTCATCCATAATTTCTATTTTTCCTTAGAGAGCTTTTACTTTTTCAGTTAAATTTATTTCTAGGTTTTTTTGTAGTTATTGGAAAAGGGGTTTCTTTTAAATTTCTTTTTATGATAATTCACTATTGGTATATGGCAATACTGTTGATTTTTTACATTGACTTTATTTAAATTACAATAATTTTTTGTTTTATGAAGTCTGAGGTTTTCTATATATAAGATCATGTCTTCCATAAACAATAACAACTTGAATGTCCTTTAGTTCTTACTGTTGTCTAATTGCTTGAGAGAGTACTCGCAATACCATGTCAAATAGAAGTGGTAAACATGGCCATTCCTGTCTTGTTCCAGATCTAATGGGTAAAAATGGAAGTACAGCATACCAAGACTATGGGATATAGCAAAAGCAGTGCTAAGAGTGAAGTTTATAGCAATCAATTACATTTAAAAAAAAGAAATACCTCAAATAAAGAACTCTCCATTGAACCTCAAGGAACTAGAAAAATCATAAAAATTCAAATCTAAATCAACAGAGGAAAACTCAGAACACAAATAAATGACATGGAAACTAAAAATAAATGAATAAACAAAATTCTATGAAAACAAGAGCTGATTCTTTGAAAAAATAAACAAAATCGATAAACTGATAGGTAGACTAACCAAAAAAGGTGGTGGTGGAGTACTCAAATACATAAGTTAGAGGTGAAAATGGGGTCTTTATCATTGACACTAAACAAATATAATAGGTTGTTAGATATTACTAGGAACGACTACATGGCAACAAATTCAACAACCTAGAAGAAATGCACAAATTCTTTCCCAGACTGAATCAGGAGGAAACAGATGGACCAATAACAAGTAGTGAGATTGAATCAGTAACCAGCAATGAACCATCAGTCAAAGCTCAGGACAAGATGGTTTCACTGCTGAATTATACCAAACATTAAAAGAAGAAAAAAACACTTATTCTTCTTGAATTGTTGTAAAAAAAACAGCAGTGTGGAAATACTTCCAAATCCACTCTATCAGGCCAGCATTGTTTGATACCAAAATCTGACAAGGACATAACAAAAGAGGGAAAGAAGGAAAAAGGAAGAAATGGAGAAAGAAACAAAACTACAGGGCAATATCTTGATGAACACAGATACAAAAAACACAATAAAACACTGGTAAATTGAATCCAACAGCATAAGATCATCCAGATGGGAGTTGGAGGTAGATGTTGTGGTGCAATGGGTTAAGCTGCTGATTGGGACACCTGGTTCAAATTCTGGTTACTCTCCCTGCTATCTATCCAGGTTCCTGCTAATAAATGGAAGATTCTCTCTCTCTCTCTCTCTCTCTCTCTCTTGCTCTCGCTCTCTGTCTCTCTCACTCTCCATTCTCTTTTGCCATTATGCCTTTCAAATAAACAAGCATAATTCGAAAAGAAATTCCAGTGTCATCAACGAGGATTCATTTCAGGAATGCAAGGATAGTTCAACATACACAAATCAATAAATGCAAAATACCACATCAACAGAATGAAAGACAACAATCATACAAATAGATCATGAATAGATGCAGGAAATGCATTTGATAAAGTTCAACATCAGTTTATGATAAAACTCTGACCGAATCAGGTATTGTAGAAGCATACCTCAACATAATGAAGCTCATATGTAACAAGTCAGCAGCTAACCTATTGAATGGGAAAAAGCTGAAGGTTTTTTGTAACAAGACAAGGAGGACACCAGACTTTATGAGCATTAACATGTGTAATGATAAAACTAACTTATGGCATTTCATGATGCATTAAGTTATATTGCCAGGAATCTTTTTAAAAGGTTTATTTTATTTATTTGAAAGAGTTACAAGAAGAGAGAGAGAGAGATCTTCCAAACAATTGGCTCACTCCCCAGATGGCCACCGCAGCTAGGGCTGGGTCAGACTGATGTCAGGAGCTAGGAACTTCTTCCAGATCTCTTGCATGGGTAAAGGGGCATGGACACTTGGACCATACTACACTGCTTTCTCGCGCACATTAGCAAGGAACTGGATTGCAATTGGAGCAGCTGGAACTCGAACCGACACCCATGTGTGATGCCAGCATGGCAGGCAGAAGCTTTATCTCCTATGACACAGTGTCGGCCCCAATTGCCAGGAATCTTGAGATGGCTGGATGTGATGGAAGGTATTCAGTCAGAGTTGTAAATGGAAAGAAATGGAGTAGACAGAGGAGTGTGATCAGGTGCATCAGACAGATCTGTGCTCAGGATAGACAGTCATGCAGAAGTGTGTGGCTGGGATAATTCCCTCCATTTCAGTAGTTCCTGGTTGATTTGCAACCAAACAGCCATTGAGCCCATTAGCCATTCCTCCTCAGTGCCTCTGTTGTGGCCAAATATACCACAAAGAGTCATTGGGGTTTCCTGCAAGCCTTCTCAGGTGTCCACAATCTGATTTCAGAGTCTCCTCTGAGATGTAACAAAGAACAGTTGTGTAGTTTTCTGTTAGGTGACCATCAGACAGGCCATCCATGATCAGTAGCAGCTGTGAGAGGTTTCCATGCTCTCTGTCTTCGTCCCAGAACAGGGTCATTTGTTGGCTTCAGAAACAAAGACAAGACTGCATTAAAAACCAACTGCAGTCACCTGTTCTCCAATGTTCATCATGTGCATCTAGGTCTCTGTTCATGGTCTCTTCACTGCTACTCATGGGCAGAAAACTGGATGGCAGAAAGGGTGTCTCATTCACAAAGCTACAAATATCTGTTATGAACACTCGCTTTTATGAATGAATGGTCACTTACTATCAACCTAAAGCTCATCATGTGGAAGACTCACAGGGAAAGTGGTCCCTCACATATTCCAGTCTGCATGCATGCTTCCCATGGGCCAGGATGGCATCCTGAACCAACCTCTTCCACTGGCTGGCAGAGCAGAACCCCCATGTCCCTGAATTGCAAAATCCTCTCTCTTAGGTGAGTACTTCCAAAAGTTCATGAACAATGGAAATAAAAGATAAGTTTTTGTTGTGGTACAAAAGTCCAAAATCCATGCATAGATTTTACAAACTACACATTTTCCTGGAACTCTTAAAGACCTTTTGTGTTTGGAACAGCTGGAGCACCTCTCTCATGCTGCTGTGCTGTGATTTGTCTGTGCTGAAGAAGTATAAAAGTCTGTCCCTAGGGTGTGTGCCATCTCTGTAGCCTCCCTGCCCCTTTTGTGTTTGAGAGCACTTTGAATGCTGTGTAAAACATGAAGACAAATGGACTGTTTTTCAGGTCTGAGGATGAGTAAAGGCGCTGTTACCCCTCCTCGCACGTCTCCTGCAAACACCTGCTCCCCAGAAGTCATCCACCTGAAGGACATTGTCTGCTACCTGTCTCTCCTTGAAAGAGGACGGCCTGAAGATAAACTCGAGTGTAGGTTTCTACATTTAGCTTTCTTACCATGGTCAAGGCAAGGGAAGGGAACTTAAAATTGCAGGTACTATCATAGTCAATTTTTTGTTGTTGTTCAATAAAATGATCCAGGTGACAAGAAAAAAGTCTTCTTATTGAGAATCAGAGAATTAAATAATATTAAGATCTATCAATTTTATTTATCAAATTCCATTTTATTTTACTGGTGATTTCGTGTTTGTCAGATGAATTTTTTTAAAAAAGGCCCTCAATTCTTTTGCATCAACAGGATGGGCTGGAAACATGCTCTGAGCTGCCTTGAGAGTAGATTTATTTATTTCTAGCCTGTGAAGAGGCCTCCCCAGTAATGAGCAAGAGCCCCTTCCTCCCCTGGAAGTCTTCTGCAGCCTTCGGCACCTCTCACACTTTCTGTGGCAGGGGTAAATGATTTCTCAAATGGCAAACCTGGGAGAGTCCTTTGTAGGACTTGACTCTGCATATTATATATAATTAAACAACAGCTTTGTTTCTTCTACCAAATGGCAGATAGAGAATTTTTTCATCTAATCCAAAGTGCTCTCCTTAATAAAATACAGTGACTGAGCTCTCTCTGGTGGCAATCCATGCTCATTGCAATGCAAGAGAACTTCCTGTAAACCTGGTCATTTGAATCTATTGTGTCTCCAGAGCTTATTCAAAATATAATGCTTATAGTTTATTCAATAATGCAATTAACTTACTTATAATGGATAATGTTAAAAGGAATGCTACTAAAATGATAGTGAAGAAAATGAATTCAAACTTTAAGGTACCTCATGCAACTGTAAACGATTAGTGATGTCTCAGAATTACATTTACAAAGCATTTTCCTTGCACTTGGCAGTAACGTTTTGGTGATATTTCTTCTACCAATAAAGAATTTGTTATGACTCTTTGGGTAGGTCACACCTGCTAGGTTATGAATAAACCCTATGACCAACTTTCTTTAAATATATATTTGTTATTCATAACTTGCATATTTGCATTTCAAGATTTATTTTGTATTTCTAAGAACAACCTACATAAATCTCTGTCCTTCCAAAATAAATATTAATGTTCAACGAGTTTCTATTGAAGTGACAGCCAACAAGAAAGTTTGCTCAGGTGTTATCAAGATCATGTTTGGGATGATTAGAAAAAAAATATAAAGACAAACATTTGTTCCAGATCTGAGACTGAATGAGGCCATGATCAAGCCTCCCCTAAATGCTCTCTGCTGTTGCACTTGAGTTTCTTGTGGGTCAAATAGAAGTCTACTGCATTTAAGATAAATTTCCTAAGAAGCATGCTTTAGAGTTGTCAATTTGAGTGCTAGATGCACATTAGCCTTTGACAAACTGCAGGCTGCAGATTAACTCGCATTCCATCCTCAGACACAGGAGGAATCAAGTCAGACTCCCCTGCCCTTCCCTCTTCTTCACTGTTACCATTCTTCTGTGCTTCTTTCCCATTCCCTAGCTCTTTCTCAGGCTTAGCTAAGTTTCCCATTTTCCCTTGTTCTTAACCAGTTCTCCAGGCTCTTCTTATAGGCAGATGGATGTGGTCTGCCACTATTGTGGTTTCCACCAGACTCCTTAAAGTTAAGGATACTCTACTTTCTTTCATTGTTTTAAAATATTTATTTTATTTATTTGAAAGAGTTACAGAGAGAGGGAGAGAGAGAGAGAGAGGTCTTCCATCTGATGGTTTACTTCCCAGCTAGCCACAGCGGCTGGAGCTGTGCCAATCCGAAGCCAGGAGCCAAGAGCTTCCTCTGGGTCTCCCAGGCGGGTGCAGGGGCCCAAGGACTTGGGCCATCCTCCACTGCTTTCCCAGGCCACAGCAGAGAGCTGGATCGGAAGAACAGCCGGGACTAGCACTGGTGCCCATATGGGATGCCGGTGCTTCAGGCCAGGGTATTTACCTGCTGTGCTATGGCGCTGGCCCCAAAGATACTTTACTTTCCTTCACTTTTCTTTTCTGCCATCCTCTAAGTTGGTTGTTTTCACCCTGAAAACATCAAAAGTTTGGTTTTTATCTTCTTTTTTCTTTCATGCCAATATCCGACCTTTTACCACATCTACGAAATAAGAATCCTTTTCCTTTTACTTTCTTAGCAATCTATCATATATGTTCACTCTCCTGCAGTTTTACATTTACAGATTCCTTACATTCATGGATTCTTGTACAGATACAGTATTCTTTTTTTATTTCTCAGTAAGACTTTTATAAATATGTCATGATGGTTGATTTAATATATACTGACCTCCAAAAAGGTTACAACTTACTAAATAGTCAAAACAAGGTGAATGAAAAGAAAAAAAATCAATTATAATTAACATGGAAATAGATGTAAGCAAGCACCTACAGTAATGAACTTTTGCAGGTAATTGTTGAGTTTAGCTGTGACTTGCAGGAGGCTAGGCAGAAATGAAGACATACACATTGGCTGAAATGAGAGGTTCTCACTCTTCAGCACACATCAGAATCACCTGCAGGGCCTGTGAACCCACAGAGTGCTGGGTCCACCTCTCAGCTGTCTGACCCAGCAGGTATGAGATGGAATCTGAGAATTTGCATTTCCCACAAATTTCCAGATGATGTTGATGATGTTATTGGTCCGTGGACTGCACTGGCTTCCATGGTTCCTTCTGTCTGGAGCAGACCTACCCACATAGACCCAGTTCATCTGAAATGTCAGTTGCCTTGCTTGGAATTGATGAATGGTGGCAATATGTGTGAGACCTGCTGTGTGGTTGGTCCATGTTTACAGGAAGAATACTTTTTTCAAAATAATTTTCTGCCAGTCTCTTTAGGGCTTCCCACTAATTTCCATCTCCCCCTCTGTCCTTCCTGCCAGGCATTTACACAATGTTTAATATAAAGTTTATCCACTGAAAAGAAACTTGAGGGGTAGTGGTACAGATGATTATGCTGCCACTTGCGATGCCAGAAACTCATTTGAGTGCTGTTCAAGTTCCACTGCTCTGCTTCTGATACAGCTCCCTGCTAATGTGCCTGGGAGAGCAGCAAAAGATGACTCAAGTGCTTGGGTCCCTGCCGCCCATGTGGGAGAGCCAATGGAGTTGCAGGCTCCTGGCTTCATCTTGGCCAGCCATGGCTGTTGGGGCCATATGAGGAGTCAACCACTGGATGGAAGATCTCTTTCTGAGTCTTTCCCTCTCTCTCTCTCTCTCTCTGTCACTCTGCTTTTCAAATAAACAAACAAAAAAAAATTTAAATAAACTTAAGAAACACAAATTCCTAGATTTCTATAAATTCTGAGCCTGGTCTTCGACTTGCTCTGTTTAACCCAATTCCAATTCCTATTAGAGAACCTTGCCTAACCTGAGATTCTCAAATAGAAATAGAAGGTATCTCGGAACCTTCCCTGTGTGCTCGTGGAAATTGTATATGCTTTTATATGTATGTGTGTATGTGTACACACTAAGGTGGTGGGAGGATTCCACTGTGCCTCTCCTTGTTGTGAACACTAACTCCAGAGTGAATACATGAGGACATGATTCCTGGAATGATTTTTTGTCACCCTCTTTAGTCCCCAGCCTTAAGCCCTCTACAGTATCTTATGAAGATTCAGTCAATCTCTGTTTCAGTCCTCTTGCATGCCTCAAAATCTGTGACTTCATGTTGATTTATTTCAGCCAGACCTTCTATTGCAATACCCCAAGATTTGTAACTTGGAAGGACTGTCCTTATTCTAAAACCTAAAGCTCTGTAACTTAGCTTTGACCACAGTCTATGTTTACTTAACTTCTTCTCTTCTAATTTAAACATGGCAGGGCCTCATACTTAAGAAGTTGGCCCGTTGACTTACATTGATTCACTGTAAACCCCCGATTGTCACACACTATCTCAGTGACCTGGGTACATTTATAAAAACCTCCTTCAAAACTCAGTGTCCTCAAGTGTAAGATTGTGATGGCAGATCATGTATCTCATGGGATAGCTAGGAATATGAGATGAAGTAATATTTACTCACATAAGTCGCGTCACTTTTATCAGTTAATGTAGACATTTGTTAAGTACAATGAATAAAAGTAAGTTAAAAATTCTCAACCTTTGACCAATTCACTTCGTCTTAAATGTGCCTGCTGCCTTTGGACTCCCAGGTCTTAAACTTGAAGCTGAGCGTGATTTCATAATTTAATTCCTTGTATGCTGTGGTTACAGAGATTTAATGGAATGTATAATTCCCAGGATTATGTCTCTGTACAAAATCTCAGATAAGTGCCCATTGATTCTCTCAACTTTTGCTTTCCAGTTAAAAATGAATCCAAGTGACTTGTTTTTTTTCTATAACCTATTTAGTCATCATTTCACCCACCAGGTGTGAGTTCTTGCACTTTCACTCACGTGGCAGCTACTAAAGCCTTGTCAACTCCTGTGAACAATGTCCCTCTGATGGTTCTTGACCGACTCATACTTGGACTTGGAAATTTAACCCTAGACTTAGCCTCCATAAACTCACAATTTGATCCTAGCCTGCCATGCTGGTCTTGAATTTGGCTTTGAGCTGCACACATGTGCACAAATGATGTCATGTGAGTCAGCTTTGATGTCTTTGTGAGTCAGGTCAAACCATGACCTTCTCTACCTTCGTGTCTTTGGTTGTACTGTAGTGTGTCTGCTGGGGAAATTCTTTACCTTTCTGGGTATATGTCTGATCCAGTCCATTCTGCACGTGAGCCTCCCTCATATCAGGTGCGTCTCCTAGTCAGGTTATGTCACTCTCTTTGTACCCTGGCACTTTGTCCATCTGCCTATTCTGTCCCCTACTCCTGGGAGCATGTGTGCCAGCAGACAGATTGGCATAGCCATGAAGAGAAAATAAAAGTAGTGTGAATTATTTAATACATCAAACTACGAAATTCATTTAAACCTTTAATTTAAAATGCATAGTAGTCACACTTGGATTACTGTTTTTTGTTGTTAATGATTCAGCAAGAGCAATGTTTAAATTATCCTGCATTCACTAAGATACA